ATGAACTTAATATAATAATGTAGCATGCACAATAATAAGTAAAGAAATCCTCACATAAATGAATTTTTAAATAAACTAAACTCTTTAATAAAATACGGGGTATTACAAATTCTTTCCTCTTAGGGTAAAATAACTGGTCCTTCTCTTGTAGGGTTTTGATACTCTTGTCTCCGTTTTGCTTTCGTTGAGCCTCGAAACTCCTCGGAATGCCATTTCTTGTGTTTTGTGGATGATGTACATCTCTAAAGACTTATTTATGTTTTGCTTCCGCATTTTTTGATCTGTTTCGGATTATCACAGGACACACTGGGTTTGTAAAATCCAGGGTCGTTACATTAAGAGTCCACCACTAAGAGAAGCCACGTGTAAGGAGATTCACTCAATCAATGGAACGTGTTAGCTTTGGGGAATTTTAGTGTACAAATTGAAGTTCTTAAAATCATGCGATATGATTTCTGCAGAAGCCACGATATAACAAGCACTAAGAGTTTAATCGTGGGCCACTACTACCACTATCCAGGAAAGAGGGAATAATGACCATTTGTTCAAACAAAAAAGATTGACACGATTTATTTTGAGAAAACGACATCAAAGGCATGATTGCATGGCTGGGACATTAGGAAGCATTTGAAGACATCAATGGAACTGCTTTGTTTTATAAACTATCATTTCATAATTTCTATAAATAGGTCATTATGTTGTAACGTAGAAGACCTGTTCAACACACAACTCAAATTACAACAGCATTTCAATACAAATTCTTATTTTCATTACGATGCAATTTCATTATGTTTAGCTTAAGTCCCGTACTTTACTTTAAATTAGTTAATTTTACAGTCAATTCAATTACTTTCTCAAGTAGTTTGTTCCTTCCTAACCAGTTAACTATCGCGAAATCCTTTTCAAAGGCAAAAAGAACCTTGAGGTGTTCATTCCAGAGCTCATCACAGTCACTTGGTCTTGCAATCTTCCTTCTGGAATATTGTTTGGATCTCTCTTTGGAACTATAGTAGTTCTTAGCACGCCCATCCGGTTCCATCGGAACCGATCACTTTTACAGGCCAAACAATCTCGAATCGTGTTACCTTGTCAGGTCAAATATTATCATTGCTAATATGGTGTGCCAGTTTCCAAACTTTTTTCAGATGGCGAGGCCTTAAAATTTCTCATATTAGAAAACTGAGCGGGCTATAAGATTTTTCTTTAGCTCTGGCCCAAGACTATATTTTTCAATGCATGGAGCCCATCGTTTCAACCGTATAAGTCAGCTTGAAAGCTATTCAAAGGATCAACCCTTACAAAAAATTATTTTGAGACATTTAATTAGAAAATATTGATATAATATTTATTATAGAATGGAGGGAATATTAAATTTTCTGAGCGGGCTCTATGCTTCATAATTTTATTTTATTTTATTTATTTATTTATTTATTTATTTATTATTATTATTATTATTATTATGTTAACAAAGTAAGAAGGGAAAAATGTTGGATTAATAATGCAGAGAGTCCAAATCTGACATTTCAAAATTCACCAAAGGCACTACCCACTGGGCTATTAAGGCATTTGCATTTTTGTTAGTTTTTGATTGATTGATTGATAATTTATTTTAATGTGAATGATACTATTTTTATTGATTAATTTTTTATAAAAAAAATATACCTTAGATGAATAATACTTGAATAATAATATAAGAAAATAAAAAATTAAAAGATATTTAGAAAGAGTAACATAGCTCTCGTAAGGAAAGGTGTCACTCTTACTACGTTAATGTTGTGGCATAAGCAGATGTCTCCATAGTTCAGTTGGTTAGTGTTTCCGGTAGACTTTGGAGTATTACGCTTCGATTCTCTACTTCTACTAATCTAACTTCTAACACTTTTTGCCTTGTAAAAATAAATAAATAAAAAATAAAATTGTTGTGGCATAGACCATAAAGGGCTGTAGCCAATAGGAGTGACAATTTGTCTTCATGGGTCATAATCGTGTCTTGTCTACCTAAGAGTATTCTACTAAATAATTCAAGTCGAACACGACTTGTTTAATATTCGTGTAAGGAAATCTCAACACTAACCCGACCTATTTATTAAATGGGTTAGGGTTACATGTGTAACCCGTTTAATGACAAATTTAATAAAAACAAAAAATTATATTATTTAAATTATTAATAATACAATCAAACATAGATACTAGAAAAATATAAGTTTCAATCTACCCAAATTACTAAATACTCTCTAGTTTACAAAAGAGTAAATTATAAGACAAGATAATTATTTTGGAACCTAAATATAAATTTATTTATGACATGTATAATTAAATTGGTGTAAATGGTTTACAGGTTGAACTACCTCAACTCAAATACGACTAGTTTAATCTAATCATGTCAACTAATTTACGATACAAACCCATCTAAGGTCAACTCAAACCCGCTCCATTTTCATACAATCAAAAAGATTTTGACTTTGAAAATGCAAGCAAAGCCGTATGGTACATCTCCACCAAATTAAACTTTGATGAATCTCTCACTCTCATATTAATTTTGTATAGACAGAGTAAAAGTGTTTGGTATGGTCAAATGCAGATAGGTCCATGTCTTTGAAATTTTGATGCTATCACAAAACGCGCAACCAAACATGAACTTCTTAAACAAGCAAAATCTACGAACCTAGCAATCAAGTACTACTACTACTTGTTAAATCCACCATACACAGAATTGTTAAGCATTGTCTGGACCTAAATCATAATTGATAGCTAGAAGATCAGTTTGTGGTGCACAACTGCACAATACAGATAATGATAATACTCAATCAAGACCAGGCTAATTGGAAGCCTAAGCGACTTATTACACCATCAATCACTGAAAATGCGCATTCTACTAATTAATCTTCATGTGGACGTTATTCATCTAACCATCACCATTCCCCATAAAGATGCCACGTGTGTATAAATGGGTGAGTGTGGCAATATTTATTTAATTAGTAAGGGCATGTTTGGTAAATTGGTAATTATTTCCGTTTTACATTTTTATTTTAATCTGAAACAATATTTTGTTGTGGAGTGTTTGATTGTGGTTGAATTTGTTAAAAGATTTTTTAAAACAAAGACATAAAAATATGTTTAACAAAAAAAATGGTAACAAGATTGAAAAGTTTAAAAAGATCCTTTAAGGATTTTACTTGCTATTATTTTTTAACTGTTCATCCCCACAATTTTATTTTTTTTTTGGGCACTAGAACTTACTTGGGCGGGCCCCTTTGGGACTCACCCCAGACTACAAACCGGGGATGCTGTCGATGGCCCCGCATCTCAGTAACAATTTCGAAGATTATAATAGCGATGAACGGATTCATACCTGAGACATACAGTTCAGACCTTACCAACTCGGTCAAGCCCTGGAGACACCCTACAATGTTTTTGCTATGTGATAAACATAAACAAGTATCAATTTTCGTATAAAGTTAACCAACACATTTTCATATTTTATTTTGAAACAGGCCATCAGCCCAAAAAAAAAAAAAAAAATACAAAACAAAAGTGGTAGTCTAATAAGCATTTTTAGGTTATAATTATAACTATCCAAATTTGTTTGTTTGAAGAAATTCTTAATTTTTGTTTAAAAAATTTCAATTTAAAAAACATACTGGTGTATTGAGCCGAAATGACTCGAAATTTTTTTTAAAAAAATAATAATAATAAATCTTTGACTGAACTGTACAAAAGCACTAAAGAATAGAAGAAAAACAGTGCAACGGACAAAAAAAATATATATATATATATACATACAGGTAGACTGCACATAAAGCCTATTCGTAGATGGGTCTTCGAGCCTTGGCCCAATTAGATAATGTTATATATATATATATTGGCTTTGGTCAAATGAAGGTGTGACTTGATTTTGGCATCCTATGGATGAATGAGGTACTCCACCCGACCAACTTTGAACCGGAACTGGACCCCACCACATACAATAACTTCTCCATTACTTAGTGGGCCCCAATCCCCACGTTCAGATCCTCATCATATGCCATAATTCCAAACCCAGGACCCTTTAACTTTAAACAACGTCTTTGTCGAGTCCGGGACTTCTGTGTTGGCTTTTTCGTTCCATATATTGAGACTAAAATTAATTCAGAAATTCGATTCAATATTGACTATTTTGAAGATGAATTCAGAAATACGATCCTGTACTTCTAACGAATGTGATTATGTTAAAAATGGGATTCGTTCCCAAGAATTTAATTCTCCAATTGTGTATATATATGATTTATAGGCCAAGTGTATAAAATATTTTAAAGTATATTTAAATTTGTTTGGATGTAAATTATTCTTTAAAAAATATTTTTTTTATTTTTTAGTATTTAATTTTCATAAAATATTTATGAAAAAAATATATATTAAAATTTAACAAAAATCACTTATCCATTAATTTTTGACAAATTATTTTACATGTCTTGTCTGATGGACTTACCTCAACTTCAACTTAAATTTTTGTCAAATACCAAAAAATCAAAAAACAAACTTAAAGTTTCAATTTGATATAAATAAATTTAAACCTTAAATTAATTAAATTAGCTAAAATATTTTATAAATCAAATTAATCCATATACACCTGTCAGTGCCTTTGTACTATAGTGATTGGGATTTGCTTTTTTTAGTTACTTTTTTTCTCATTGTCTTTTCGTTACCTTTTTTTTTTTTTTTTTGGTAATTACTTCGTAACAAATCTGTGTAATAATAATATATATACACACACTTCAAATTAATAATAATAATAATAAGAAGAAGAAGAAGTCGCGATAAATAACAATCATTTCTGAGAAATAAATCTTTGCTTTTTAAGTCACCACACATTTTCAATCATTTTTCATTCCATTTAGGAAAAAAAATCATTTTTCATTCCCAAACACCATCCAACCGTGTCATGAAAAGGAGCACGAAAAGCCCAAACACCACGCACAAATTTAATGCGCATTGAATAAGCAAAGCAAAAAGTCTTAGAGGAACCAAAGACCGAACGGAAAGCGACTTTCTCACATAACCCATCCTTCGACTCCTTTCTCTCTTCATAAACCATTCCTCCAATTCCCCCTTCCCCCGCCCAACCTTAACCATTCCCTTTCCCTTTCTCTCTCTCGAAAATCTCTCTCTCTCTCTCTCTATTCTTCTTCTCTGCGTGACTGTGTGAAAATGGTAAAGGAGGATATGGACATCACACTTCCCAGCTTCTTCAGGTGTCCAATCTCACTCGACGTCATGAAATCCCCTGTGACTCTCCACACCGGAGTCACCTACGACCGCTCTAGCATCCAACGCTGGCTCGACGACGGCAAAAACACGTGTCCCGCCACCATGCAGCTCCTTCACACGACAGACCTCGTCCACAACCACACTCTCGGGCGACTCATCCGGATCTGGTCCGACTCGATCCGAACCCGGTCCGGCTCCGACTCGTCCGATCCCGACTCACCCGCCAACTCGCCGCCCCCCAAACTCACCCAGCACCAAGCTCGAGACCTCATCAACCAACTCCACAGCAATGAATCCATATCCAAACTCGCCTCCTTCGCTACCGATTCCGACGAGAACCGCCGCTTTCTGGCGGCGATCGACGGCTTCCCGCTGCTTCTCGTCGGAATTATTGGCGGAAATGTGTCCAAAGAATTCAATTCTGCTGAAGAGGCAATTAGGGTTCTTAGCATGATCTTAGAAGAATACAGAGATAGAGAACAGTTAGCAAAATCGATGATCGACAAAGAGTACCTGAGTTCAATGCTGATTTTATTGAAAAAAGGACGCTTAGGCTCGAGAATTGCGACGGCTAGGGTTTTGGAATCCATTGCCATCGATGCAGAGTCGAAGCTGTTCATCGCCGAGCACAGCGATGTAATTCCAGAACTGCTCAAACTAGCGAGCTCCGAATCGGATCCGAATGCGATCGAGTCCGGTTTATCTTCCCTGATCTGTTTATCGATACCGAAGCGGATCAGAAGAAGGCTAATCCGACTCGGAATTGTTCCAAAATTGGGGAAAATGTTATCGGACTCGAACCTGAGTGTCTCGTCCACCGAAAAAGCTCTGAAAATGCTGGAAATGGCGTCGGCGTGTAGAGAAGGGAGGGACCAGATGTGTGAGGACGAGGTTTGTGTATCGGCCATTGTCAAGAAGGTGTTGAAGGTTTCGAGCTCGGCGACGGAGCACGCGGTGATGATACTGTGGAGTTTGTGTTATCTGTTCGGCGATCAGAAGGCGATGGAGGCGGTGGCGAAGAGCAATGGGTTAACGAATATACTGTTGCTGATGCAGAGCAATTGTTCGCCGGCCGTCCGGCGGATGTCCGGCGATCTGTTGAAGATGTTTAGGGTGAACTTGAAGTGTTGCATTTCAAGTTATGATACTGAGACGACTCATATCATGCCGTTTTGAACTGTGTAGTAGTAATTTGTAGATCGAAAGACAATTTTGTTACGAAAGATGCAAATTAAGGCTGTGTTTGGTAGGGTTGATTTGGAGGGACAGGGAGGGAAAAGAAAAGAGAGGATAGTGTAAGTTTATATTTGGGTAAGTTAAGTGGAGGGATAGGGAGAGATAAGGAGGGATAGCTAAATCAAACATATCCCTCCAAATCAACCCTATACATCCTTAATTTGCATCTTTCGTAGCTATCCCTCCTTATTTCTTATTTTCTTTCTTTTCAATTTTGAGAAGATAGGGAGAGAAAGCATAATGATTTTAAGTAGTATTTTGATAATACCAAAATTAGCCTCCACAAATTAATATATAGATTTATTATTCCATTCAAGTCTCATGGTTATGAAAGGGTAAAAAAGTAATTTGTCTACTATCCTTTCTTTTCTTTTTTTTTCTCGTTTCTATCTTATCCAAACAAGAATAACTATCTTTTCTTTTCTCCCCTATCTATCAAAACATAAATAAAAATTATTCCTATCCTTTCTTTTCTCTCATAACTAAAACTATAATTCATTTTCTCCCTGTCTATCCAAACACACCCTAAAGAGATAATTTATTTTATTTTACTTTGCTTTTTTATGGATTTGGCGTCTGCTTTGTATTATTTTTTTATTTTTTTTTTCTCACTTTTTTTAAACGATATATATGAAGCGCTATTGAAACTGAGCGTAATGATGTTAATGTCAAAGTTTTATACTCGATTATTAATTCTGTTTTTTCATATTAATGTGTTAGAATTTTTTATTGTAAAACTGGTAAATATTAGAATTTCTGATTGTAAAACTGGTAAAGAAGCTTTGGATATTTTGTAAGTTACTAATGAAGTAACTTCAAAAGTGAAATTGTCCAAAATTCAGGTACTCTCTCATAAATTTGGGAATATCGTGATGAAAGAAGATGAATCATTTTCTGATTTTTATTCTAATTTTCTTGAAATAATTTCTGAACTGCGTCACTTAGGGAAAAAAGTTAATGATAAAAAAATTTGTGAGAAAATGTTAATGTCTTTACCTAAAAGATTTCAAATTATTGTTGAAATCATATCTGAAAATTGGGATTTGACTACCTGTCAAGTTGATGAGATAGTAGGTTCATTAAAAACTTTTGAGATGCAGAATTTTAATTTAAGTCAGAAGGAGAAAAATTTTGTTTTAAAATCTACACAGGTTGAGCATTCTGTGAATGATGACTCTAAAGATGATACATTCTTATCAAGGCAATTCAGTCAGATTTTGCAAAGGAAATAGAAGAGAAGGAATAGTAACATGGCTAATACTCAAAATTTTGACAAGACGTCAAAGTTTAGGTTTAATGAAAAAAAAAATAGAAGAATTAAAAGAAACTGAATTTACTTGCTGGAATTGTGGTGGTAAAGGTCAAGCATCCAATGCTTATCCTAGTCCTAAGAAAGAATAAAAAGATAGGAATAAAGGAAAAGTAATGAAAGTTTCTATGGCTGAAAATTCTACTTTAAGTGATAGTGATTCTCCTCAGGATGATACTAATGATTTTTCTTATGCCACTTTTCTTAATAGGGGTCCTCATATCGTTCATTTATCTAACAAGACAATGAAGTTAATGATGAACAGGTTGAAGAAGCTGAAAAGAACGATGAAAGACTGAAGAAGATGGTCAAAGAAACCATGGAGAACAAACAGTCAATCCATAAGCTAGCAAAGGAGCTTATCCAAGCAAAATAAGAGAATGAAGATCTAAATAAATAGATTGATGAAGGCAAAAGGAAAGTTGTTGAAAGTAATTCTGTCATCACGGAGCTTGAGAAGCAGATTATCATTCTTGAGAATAAGGTAAGTGTTGCTAACTCATTGAAGGAATGTCTTACTTTGAAAAATGATTATCTTGAAATTGAATTGAAATCTAAATAAGATAAACTGAAATGATTAAATTTAAGTCACAATAGTTTGAATAAGATAATCAACATGGGTAAGGATGTGAATGATAAAGCAAGGTTAGGATGTGTTAAAGGGTCTTTTAGTAATCAAGGTAAAATAAATTTTGTTAAACCTGCTATTATGCTTAAAATCATGTTTGCTTGATGCATCACATTCTGATATGTCTTATGTGCCTAAATTGTTGCATTGCACTTTTTGTGGAAATAATGGACATAAGTAGAACTCATGCATTCACAGGAAAAAGAAAGATTTTTCTAAAATTCAGTCTCGAAATTCATATGCTGAGAAAAAGGTGTGTTCTAGGAAGAAAAAGAATATAACATCTAAGGTTTCTAGAACTAAAATTTTGCTTAAGAGTGAGGTAAAGAATGATAAAGAATTTCAGGAATTGAAAGTGAGAACTGTGTGGATCAAAAAGTCTGATTTGATCAAATATGTGCATGTTAAGTCCTTGGAACAAGTTTCCAAAAGGACTTCACCTTCAAACTGAGTCCTATGAATTTTAGTGATCATGGCTTGTGTTTAAATAGAAAATTTTGTTGCCATTGGATCACTTGTTAGGGTTTGGTTTAGGTTTGAGTTTCTGATCATAGTCTTCATGAAATATTTTTGAAAATTCTTCCGTTGAATTTATAATCTATCCTTGAATGCAAATTTGGACACATGATTTTTGATTAAAAATAAATTCTTGGTTTGTAATCTATACAATGAAAGTTGATTTGCATTGATTAAGGAATTTTTAGATTTAAATCTCTTAAGTTCATAACCTTTTGTGCACTAGTCCAAGTCTGAAAATTTTGATTGAAAATCTTTGAATTTTTTACTAGGGTTTGTTGATCACAAAAGCTATAAAGGTTATTGTCTTAAAAAAGTAGGAGCTTAAAAAAATAATGAATAAATTCAGCTTGAAAAATAAAAAATAAAAAAAGAAAAATAAAATAAAAAATTGCTGACTTCTTTGTTCAGGAAAAGGCTACCTATTAAGATGTGTTTTGAAAGCACTCATGAGACTTTGAAGAGGAACTAAATGAGTAAAAAGAAAGGTGGAGACAAGTTGAATTGGGGAATTGTTATCTATTCTTTAGAGTGAAAGCCACCTTACTTAGAAAAATTACTCAAAGACAATTTTATCTTGATGTTTTTTTATCAATATGGTTTAAACAATGATTTATTAATGATTGATTGAAAATGGATGAGATGGATTGCACACACATACTTGAACTTGCTAAATTGATTTCTAAATGTTTCATTAAAATTTGTAAGTTAAAATTCGTGTTGTGATTATTTCTTGAGAATTAAAATTGATTGAATATTCTGTGGAGTCGAAATTTTCGTTCCTAGATATCTCTGAAAATTTACTGGAAATTTGGATCAGATATGAACTTGAAAGACAGTGGATGACTGCTCTATGATTTTTTTTTTTTTTTTTTTAATTTTGTTTTAAAATAAAAATAAAAAAATTTGAAAAACTATAAAATTCAAAAAGGTTTGTTGTTTTTAGTTGTTAGATTTTTATTTGTTTATTTTATTTTTTTTTTATTTTTTTTATCATTGAGTGAATCAAAATTGAGTTGAAAAATTTTCAGGAAAAATTTCAAGTTACAAGGTATACTGTCCCTCTCCTACCGGTACCACATTCCCCTACCGGTTCAAGGTGTAAGGCCAAAGTCTCTAGAGCTTGGCTACCAGTACCACAACTTTGGTACTGGTTCAACAGTGGTCCACATCCACATTTTGCTCACTGCCCAGTGGGAACCGGTTCCCACTTTGGCTACCGGTACCTGGCAGCGGGTGTAGAGTTTAAATAACTTATTTTTGCACTATTGGGTTTTGTTGCATACACCTATTCTTTCTCTCTATTTTATGTTCTTTCTCTCCAAAACTTCATACATCTATACATCATATATTTTGACTTGATCTTGCATCATTCTCACTATTTTATTGCAAAATAACATGGCATCATTCATTTGAACTTGAGTGTTGAAGATTGAAGATTGGGAGTTGAAGAGAAGTTTTGAAGTTTGAAAGAGGAGTTTGGGTTTACAAAAATTTTGGAGGATTTGGTTGAGATTGTTGATGATTCTTGGGGGTTTGACATTAAAGACATTGGGTTTGATGTTGTGCTTGATTTGTTGTTGATCTTTGGGGTTTTAAAGATTCAAAACAAATTTTTCCAAGAACAAGTCTTGAAGCGCACTCCAGGTGTTCGACAAAATTACTAAGTGAAGTTTAGGGCCTCAAACCAAAATTTACCAAAAAGAAGATGCCTCCCAAAATGTCTCGGGAAGACAAAGGAAAAGGCATTGCATCTTCGCCGCCTCCCAAGAGAGCCCGATTGTGATACCCCTTGGATCCGAGATACGGGTTGATCAGACCCAAGCCCATACCCGAGGGAATATCAAACAATTAATATTTTAAAACGAACACAGAATATAAAAAATGAAATATGAAATTGAATAGAGCTAAAAGAAATACTAATTATAAAAATCCTCAACCAATAAAGATTAAATAATCCAATCCTTCTAAAACCTCCAAGAGCACAATTCGGGAATCCATCTAGTGGACCCCTAAATACAATCCCAACTGAAACTGCATAACTGGAAATAAAAACCAAGTCTAAAACGTGGAATGAAATCGTACTTCGTCGGTAGAGTGAATAACAGCCTCTGCTTAGCTGAACAAACCCTAAGACTGGAACCGTCCGTTACTTGAAAAATATAAGAGTGGGTCAGGCCCACGAACAAGTTTTAATCTAACTGCAATCCATACAATGACCCGATACGCAGATACACCCTAGATATCTCAACAATATCTATCTAGTCCATACATATATATATATATCCATACTAAGGGATATTCACTGGACTATATAGGGGGTTTCAACCTGAATAGAAGACAACATGCAAAACGCACCTGAGTGGGCATGAATACCTAAGCCTAATAGGGTATACCTCAACCTATCATAGCCAGCTATGCATCCACTGCATATACGCGCCCTAATCATCGGCTCTGAGACTCAAGCTCATATCGTGGTACCATAATCATAAATATAAATTCCGTCCAAACCCGGAGTATGTCATTCAATTCTTTGTTGATCTGATATAAGACTCCTAATCCGGTTAGCCACTCAACTTACTCAGTCGATCTGACTTAACCGTGAATAACAATAAATCCAAGTAGTCATTCAACTTACTCAGTCAATCTGACTTAACCATAAATAACAATTAACCCAGATAGTCACTCAACTTACTCAGTCGATCTGACTTAAATAAAATTAGGATTCAATATTTTACAATCCTTTCCTTTAATCCAATAGGTTAGGTCTTAACGTTTTGAGCTAAACCATCCCTAATATTCCACCGTCCCATATCGGTGCATACAATCTTCCATATCCATATAAATTACAACACATA